AAAAATACGGTACGCCACCTTTTAAAAACTCGGACTGGTCCTTATTTTGCCTATATGGAGTCACGTCGAGAGTCTTTCTGAAACAATATAGTTCACCTTGTGGTGTAGACGTAGTAGTAATCCAACCATTCATCATCGTTCGTTCATTGCCGAGAATCAGTTGTTTCAAAGCCCAGATTTGTGTATCCAAATAAATCATTCGCTTGACAACAGTCACTATAGAAACATCTGCCTGACAACAGTCACTATGGAAACATTTTCAATGGAACAGGAAAGTCTTACTTTCACTACTGTACAGTTATTCTTCTAAGGCAGCACCTTGCAAGTCATTCATACATCATTTTCAACATAATCAGTTTACTCTTCATGAAGAAGGTCCACCTTTCGTACTCTTGTCTTTAATGCTATTTTTGAACGTATGTGTTTTCTTAACATCATGAATAACTATCAGCAGACTTATTCACGACTTTAATAAAACACGTACGAAGCAACTTAAGTGTGGTAAGTAACCCAAGCGTTGACATCCGCGGAGTATAACTAATACACTGGATGGTTCACCCTTGGATTCTTACAGTTTGTCGGGCCGAGCTTGGCCTAGTGGCTGGTGTGCTGGACTGAGAGTTTGAAGGTACATGGTTCGCGTCCCGTTACCGAAAAATCGCGCTCCGCACTTTGGGGCCATTGATGCGTTATAAGAGTGATGATCAAATCCCAATATTTGATTCGAGTAGCCCAGGAGTTGGCGGTGAGTGCTTTGATTAGCTACTTTCTCTTTAGCTTATAAGTTCAAAATTAGGGATAGCTAGCGGAGAAAGACCTTATGTAGCTTTGCGCGAATATAGGAAAAAATAAATTTATCAAAATATACATCGTTATACAGTCAGTATCTTCTACCTGAAGTGGCGCGATTAACTTTTGAAAATGTAAGATCTTTAAAGTATATATGGATTTATAAACGATATCCGTAATCAACTATCAAGTTTGGCTTGATGATAACACATCTTGACAATATTCCGCAGCTTATTTTCTATAGCAGAAGGTTCCATCATAAGGATGTCGTATCTAAAGCACACAATACGTCCCTGCATGTTTTCCATAATCCATATTATATAGTAAGATGGCGGTTTCCCAGTGGCTGTTTCAACAGTCCAGTCAAACAGAAATCCACTCTCACGGCATTCGGCGACTTGACAGGTATTTTAAAAACTCTGGAATAGCATGAATACCAATTTGTTTTTCCAACTGCCTGGGGTATCGTGGTGAACCCATACCCTGTTGGCTTTGTTTCAAGACGAAGATCCTTCTTGAATATGTTGACTATTGTTCCACTTTGTGTTCGTGGAATTTCACCTGTTATAAAACTTTTCTCACTATGGCTGGGATACTTCCTATTGCAGGTATCTTCCTGGATGTTTTATATGTCCCAAGTTGATCCATATTCCTCTGTTTTACAATGCCATTAACTACAATGTTTTTTTTTCTGTCTTCGAAACTCTAGATCCCCGATCCGAACACATTTTTATGAAATCAGTGTATAAATATTTTGAGTCGGAAAGGGCATTTACTTATCCCCACGACAAGCCAAGTATTGCCAAGATATAGTTCTGATATATGCTTTCCACCGCGGCTGTGTATCGGCTGTGGTTGTTATCTCACTTGCTGGTCCGCATATTCAAAATAATTTCAATATAACGTACTCGACATTCTATATTTATCAGGGAAGGCATGAGTTGGTGCTCTATAGAGTACGTCTAGCTGATGGAAGACTATCACTATACATTATTTACAGTTCTTTGTATCCAACAGCACGTTGAATCTTAAAATTAAATATTCTTATGAGGAAAAGTAAGCTCATACTAGTAATTTTCTAGCTCCAGAATACAACTCTTTATTGTTTGTTTGTTGAATTTTGCGCAAAGCTACTCGATGGCTATCTGCGCTAGCCTTCCCCAATTTAGAAATGATAGATTAGAAGGAAGGCAGCTGGTCAACACCGCCAACTCTTGGGCTACTCTAATCGAATTGACCGTCACATTATAATATACGCACAGCTCAAAGGACCAATGTTCGGTCATGGGATATGAACTTACCACTCGCAGAGTACTCTAGCCACCGGCCCATGCAAGGCCCTCATTATTATTATTATTATAAGGAAATCGTACAATAGTAATTTTCCAGCTCGAGAATACTTGTTATTATCGATATGAGGAGATGTAGCGTACTTTAATGGCCTCTGAGTTTGTCTTGTCACTGAATAATTCTCCTTATTAGTGTTGTGAGTAAAATATAGGGAGCGCACTAGTTACATTGTAGCCCTAGGATAATTCTAATTGTTGACGTGAGGAAATTTATTGACCACTACTAATTTTCTAGTGCATGCTACATTATGTCTGTGTTTTATTCACCACACGTAGTATACGTTAATGTGGGCAACTTAAACACAATTTATTTCTTCTAGAACATTTATTCGGTGTTTTGAGGGAGTATACAGCACGCATATCTAATTTAGCAGCCTCGTAAACGTTTTAGTTGGTCATGTAACAATTCAAACCTATTACTTTTTACACATGAACAAACAGAATTAGGCTATTTTACATCAAGTATCAGATGCAGCTTGTTGTTCAGTTAGTGAATAAAATGTCTTACAAAAAAGTCCTCCTAGTGTAGAAAAATCGAAACCAAACTCTTAGTACTTGAGATCGCAATTGATATGTGTATTTGTTTCACAGTCCAGTCATGCGTGATGAGAAGAGCTGTGTTTGAATTAAGCACAAAATTTGTTTGTTTGTAATTAGGCAGAAAGTTACGCAATGGGCTATCTGCCCACCACAGGTATCGAAACCCGGTTTATAGCGTTGTAACTCTGCAGACATGCCGTTGTGCCACTAGGGGGCAAGTACAAAGCTACACATTGAGCTATTTGTTTTGTGCTCATCAAGGGTATCGAAACCCTGTTTTTAGCGTTAGAAACCTTAAGAGTCACTACCGAGCTACTGTTATGGACACACGTATATTAATAAATCACGCTCATAAAGAAACCTATGAAAGTGTAACAGTTAGAAATATAATAACTTATATGAACTCTCCATAATGTACAAGTTAATAAAATTCTATGGTAGAAAGATTAGAACTATGAAGTTTCCCGTTTTAAATGAAGAAACAAAATTACGTTGTATGATATATCACCCAAGATTGATTAAGTGAATTACCAAGTCTTTTGCTTATTTTTAAATTTCGTAATTAAAGACGATCTTTTACTGAAACAGCAACGCAACTATTTTCGGCCGCGCCTGACAAGTCGGTTGAACGAAAGTTCAGAACAGATTAACAAGCCTTTTCTTCGTTGTTTATTTTAATAAGCCACCTAGATTTCCAGAACAGAAATAATTAGATGTTACTTGAAGGAGCTTTTTTTTAAAACCTCATTGAATTGCAAAGTTCGTCTTAAAACGTTGAACGAGACAAACAGCTTAGAAGCATCTAAAACCATCAGATAGCTAAGAGAATTAAAAATATCTAAATCAGAACTCGATATATATATATATATATATATATATTATAGATTCAATAACATAATAATGACTTTCCATGTAGAATGGCGACTTAAAAAATATAGGAAAAAAAGACCTCATTTATTGGCGCTTTTAGGACGTTGATTAAACAGCAGGAATTCTAAGATGTTTCAAAACCATAGGTTTACACACACACACAAAAACAGTTGTGTTTCTTTGTTTGTAATTAAGCACAAAGATACACAATAAACCAAATGATACTGCTACTTTAAAACGTTGATACTTATAATACTGCCACTTTAAAACGTTGA